AGGCATCATATTGAATGTTTGGATAGAAAAAAAAACTTACACCTCTGATTTTTTAAAATTCTATGTATTTTAAAAATCGGGATTTATTTATAGTAAAATGAAAATTCAAAATCTTGAATCTAAAACGAAATTACAAGAGAATACAAACAAAATAAAGAGCCCAAATTATTTACAGTAATTGTTGGAAGTGTCTTCCACCCACACGTATGCAAGCATCTACTCTTCTTCGCATAGACTGACGCACATTTTCAAAGATTCCTGGGCTGTTTCTTATGGTTTGGCAGCAGACTGTTATACGATTTCGTAACTCTTCTTCGGTTTGAATCGGCACTGCGTACACTAATCTTTTCAGATGCCCAGAAAAAGAAGTCTAAACTATTAAGGTCGGGAGATCTAGGCGGCCATGACTGCGTTCCTCCGCGACCTATCCACCGATTGCGATAGGTGTGATTTAAAAATTCACGCACTCGTAAGCTAAAATGTGGAGGCGCACCATCGTGCATTAGCCACATCTGGTTTCTTAATAAAAGAGGAAGGTCTTCAAGCATTGGCGGCAGATCATCTTCAAGGAAGTGTAAATATGATTGTCCATCAAGTCTTCTTGGGAGAAAAAATGGGCCTATCAAATAATCATCAATAATGCCAGCCCAAACATTTAATGAGAACTGTTCTTGATGATTTGACTCAACAATTGCATAAGGGTTTTCATCCGCCCATAAATGGTTATTATGGAGATTTATTATTGAGTTTCGATAAAAATTAGCTTCATCGGTAAAAAGAATGTGCCTGTCAAATAATGGATTTTCCAGCAGGTTTTGAAGAAACCACTCACAGAAATTAATGCGCAACGGGAAATTTCTAGGGAGTAATGCCTGGACTCTTTGAATGTGATATGGGTATAACAAATATTCGATGAGAATTTTCCAAACAAGTACATGTAATAAAACATTAAATGTTGACGCGATTCTCCTCGTGCTAGTTTCGGGGTTCTCCTCAATTTCATGTAAAATTCCTTCTTCAAGTCCCGGTGTTCTTACTGTTTGATGGACTCCTTTAGCCCTGTGGTATACTTTAAAGTTCCGGTCTCGTGAAGACGTCTATGAATCCTAGAAAATGTTCTCGGATCGGGTAGTACGCGATTTGGATACCGCTCTTGGTATATCCGTCTGGCTTCGTATGCATTTCCGTCTGCAAGCCCATAACTAAAATGCATGTCAGCTAATTCACTGTTCGTAAAATTTACCATTTTTTTTTTCAGATTTTAACTCTTACTCTAATAATAATTATTTAATAATGTAAAATCAATGTCAACTTTATTGTCTTTATGAAAAGAAACGTCAAAAATGATGACGCTTTACCCAGCCTACTAATGTTTATTTCATTTGCTTTAAGAGGGCAATAATGCGTTTACCATTTTTTTCTATTCAAAACGTAGAAAATTAATTTTTGTCCCAAAAAAATGTTTCCACGCATGGTGGGTGCCTACCAGATTTCAACAAAATATCAAAAGCAGTAGGTATCAATGAATTTAAGGAAAAAATTTGACCAACCACTACAATGGTTTTTATTTTTTTACGCGAAAACGGTGCATCGTACGAAAGTAAGTCTATGAGCCAAGTTTGCTCCAAAATAAATGATGATTTAAAAAATAATTTTGGTTTTCAGAAAAATCAGTGGCGTACCATTTTTTTCTTCAAAAATATTCAGTTCAAACCCCGTACGGACGTCACTGGTAAAAATTTAAAAAAAATCTTATGCGTCAAAAAATGCTCCTTAATTATTAAAACGTGTGTACAAAATTTCATAGAAATATCTGGAGTGATAAAAAATTATGATAAAAAAGTAATTTTTTTCTTAAAACTGTAACACCCTGTAGCTCAAAAATTAAGTGAGTTACGACATATGTTGATATTAACTTTTCTTCTTAAAATCACCTAAGGATTCACACCCTTAAGTATCGGCACTCAATTAATAAACACCCTGTCAAATAATACCTACCCAAGAAGCGAAACTGAATGAGTTTTCGTATGTACCAATGCATGGGAACTTAATACACTGGGAAACGTATGAAAATTAATATTTTTTTGTCGTTTGGTTCATAAGTATTAAACACATACTAAAGTAACAATGGGTTCGTTCACCGTCGTCAAACAGTTTCGTACTATTACGAATCGGTAAAAGGTAAACGAGCAAACTGGAAACAGCTTTTTGAAACCGTTTGTTAAAACGTAAAAGTGCAAATTAAAGTCGCTTCTACGTTTAACAATCAAAAGTATGCCAAATGGGAACTAAAGAAAGGGTTCTGTGGCAGTGTTGTTTTCGCAAGTTGAAGTAAAATGCGTTTTAACATACTTTCCCGTAAAATAATTTCAATACCTGACTCAAATTGTTTGGAATAATAAATGATCCTAGGTTAATTTAAAGTACAAACTCTATAAAGATATGTCAAATTATTTCAAATTTCAACCCGTCCTTTGTTCGTTCACCGTCATCTAAAGTGACCATATTTTGAAAATTAGTAAGTGGGATAAATCAAAAACATTGAGATTAGGAGATTTTTTGTCAAAGAATTCTATTTTTTGAAGTAGTGAGGGTTCATTGGAGAGCAAAAAAAACGTCACCATAATGGCTTAAAAGCGGGATAAAATTGGGACACATGTTAAATCGGGACTAGATTTAAAATCGGGACTGTCCGACTTAAAACGGGACGGACGGTCACTTTACCATCATCGCAACTGTTTACACGAAGCATAGAAACGTATGATTCCCAAACAAATCATTAATCAAATGACAGTGAGCACGCCCAATGAAACAGAAAATTCTTACCATGTTCATTATGTAAAATAGATTATTTTATAACGAAATAAGTACTGTAGGTACAATAATGACAGTCACTACACAATAGCGTAAGCAGAAAATCTGGTCATTCTGCAAATAGGGCATTTGAGAACATACTCTGCGAAAGAATGCAAGTATGTCTTAAAATTATAGGACAATGGTGCAAGGATCTTCACTGTATATCAATCCCAAGAAAATGGAAATGATCCTTTTCACAAGGAAAAGGATGAAAATGAAATTGAAACCTCCCGAGCTCCTAAACACAAAACAAAACTTTGCAACCATCAAGACAGAATGAAGTAGAGACGACATAAACATTGTTTTGCGATATGACATAAGGACGCACTTCTAGTGACGAAAAAGTGTAATGAAAATGACGACTTTATTTGAAGTCTGACGGAATGACAATGATTTTATATCATTTAAATGCAGCTATTTAAAAAAAATGGCATTTATTCTCACCAAAACTGATTAGCTTCACTATCTCAAATTTGACATATGACGTAAAAATGTAATACAAAGGTGCGGACACTTTAGCATCGTCATAGCTGTAAATGCATTTCCTCGGAGTGAATTTATCATATATTTTAATTATTGTTTTGTATTATTTTTTATTTACTGTTTTAATCCGAATTAATTGAAAAACAAAAAAAAATTAAATAAAACTATGAATTTAAACGATGCATAATACATAGGCGTAAAACATCATTAAGGTAATACTGATTTAGAAATTTGAAATATAAAACATTTGCAGCCAGATGCAAGAACGGTCATTAAAATTTACGAACAATGCAATGTATTTTTTCAAATAACAAATATCTTAAAACAATCTAATTTCTAATTAATAGTTAGTTAAATACAACTACGTACTTTATTGTAATTTTCACAAGACGCTAATAATAATAATAAGATACCAAACGTTGCTCTACATAAATTGACAGCTATGTTTGACGTTAAACCACCTCTAAAACACTGAGAAAACTTGGCAGTTTTTTGTCCACGAATTGCCCATTTAGTTTCGCTTCTTGGGTAGGTATTCTTTGACCCTGTAGAAGATATCCTAATGGATATTCAGCAAAATATCTAATGGGTATCTTCCAGAAAATACAAGAAATCACAGAGATATCCACAGAATATATTTTGTGGATATTCAATATATCCAATATGGATATCCAACCAAATGTCCGTCTATATCCCAGGATATTGAAGATATTCGGATATTCAGCAAAATATTTTATGGGTATCTTTAGTAGAGGTTCATAAGTAACCAATGATTATTGAATAACGTCGAAAGAAAATAGCAGAGATAAAAAATATTTTCAACACTCTGCCTTTGATTTTGCCCACTAAGGAGAAAGTCATCCTTATTAGGACTCTTCAGCAATAAATAAAAATTCTCGACTCCAGTCTCTAATGGAGTGATTAGGACACAAATTTCGATCGAACTCAATTACGGCGGGTCGAGCATGAGTAGATGCGATAGTGGTATCGCCATCTATACTTGGTAAGCAGAATCAAATAACATCTAGTGGATATCCACGATGGTTTGCGTTCGCGCCTAGACTTTGATATATTTAGTGGATGTTCATGGGATATTGAATACACCTTAAAAAAATTAATTTTAAATATCTGAACGGTACTATTAGCCACAATGACGAGCACAATGGCGTAATTTTTTAATAATTTGCTATATAATTACTATTATTTATGGACATTTGCATGTCTATAAATTACATTTCATGAATATAAAATAGATATCTACCATGGGCTGGACATTAAGGGGATATTGGGATGTTCAGTAGATATCCAAAGGATTTGGTGTGCTGTCTGGGTATGCTGCTGTGTTAATTCAAATGGCTGTAACTACAATTTTCCTTATAATAAAGATATGATCACTACGCATGACAACAATGCATTTTTTGTCCATATCTATAACTTTCATGGATGTATCTTCTAAAAAACCCCATATTTAACGCTTAGAAATTTGGGCGTAAGTTATTTTTCTCACCATCAAGTAATAAACAGATACGGCCATTTGAATTAACACGGCAGTATAGTGGTGGGATGTTAGCCAAACCGGATAAGTACCTGTATCTTAATTTTCAACTCTATAAATTTTAGTTAATGTTTTTGCTGTAATTCTTAATAATTTTGGTTCTCAGAATGGCGTTGGAGGCGATGGAGACAACACAAAATCGCGTTTTAGCCGCTGGTTCAAGCAGGAGAGTCCTGAAAAGCAAGAGAGCCGCCGTTCGTCCTTGCACGACGACCACCACCATATCATCAAAAATCTCCTGAAAGATATAGGCGAAACCAGCGTTCAAATACCGGGAGATTCGGAAGCGTATTTCGCGCCTATTTCTCCAGCTGCCAATACGGGAGGCATCATTGGCGGCAAACGAGACTTCCAACAACCCCCTTCGCAATCGATAAACATTATAGAAATGTTGCAGAGGGGCAAGCAGCAAGGCGGCGAATCTATGAAGCAGTCCCTGCCCGGAAAAATACTGAGTTTGGACGAACTTGAGGCTAAAATTAGACACAACGTTGAAACTTCTACCGGGATGAATCAGAAACATCAACAAAAGCCAGACGAAGACATGACTGTGGCTTTCAAAAAATTGGTAAGGATCGTTAGTTTTTAGTAAATTAAATAGTAATTAATTAAAGAGGATTTAAAAAGTAAAAAAAAAATCCTTTGTAGAATTAAACTTTTATAAATATGTTTCTTCCAACAAAAGTTTAGAATCGTTCGTTTGCACAAAACTACTTTATCTTTCCAACAGTGAATGAATTTTATTTGGAACCGATTAGGAATCGTTTTTAAAGTTCAAGGCTTTTATAAGAATTTTAAATTAGTTTTATCAATATTAATTATTGTTGAAATAAGAGTAATAATAAAAATTACATGAGTGGTAATGCCTCAATATTTTCGGCTTAGTAGAAATAAAAGTCCCAATGTTTTCCAACAGTTGTTTTTTTGTGATTTTGATTTTATAGGTTAAGATAAACAAAGAAATTCATTGACATGTTACATATAATTGTAATACTAGTCAAGTAAATTCTAAGCAATTTTGAACTCTTGTGATCTTTCTGTTGGAATAAAACAAATTCGTTCCTTTATAGATGCTCCTGTTCCCATTCTTTCCTTAGTATAGCCACAGTTTATAGCTAAAGAATCAGTTCGCTCACTCTGCGTCGGCACTTTTGATCTCAGTGTTCCAGTTTATACACTGCGCAACTCAGATTTGTATCCCTGGCGCATATATAATCCAATCATAACCAATACAATATATGACAACTGCCTATATTCAAACAGCAGTCTTCTGCGCATCCTGAATTTGTATCCCTGGAGTGGATATTATTTTGGAACATTCAACTGGTCCAAGTGAGCTAACAGATTCTTTAGTAATAAACTGTGGTATAGCCTTATTTGTTTTATTGTCAAAATTCAAATTTCATAAGCTTGCGTTTTTACCATAATTTTGTAGTTATAAATTTTTGTTTCTGTTCTAACATTTTTGATTGCTAGATTTTTCACACAAATTCAATGTTACCACCAGCCAAATCGTCTCTCATAGGAGTCTGTTCTGTGACAAATCCTTTATATTTTAACGGACGTTAAAACATTGATGATTTAAAAATATGCAAGTATTCACTAACTTTACTTTTGTCAATATTTAAATGGATTCCTTTAAACACATACATTTAACATTTTTATGATATAATTCGAGAATTGGTTGAAGAATATTAATACTGGAAAATGAAAAAAGGAATAAAGTAGATACATACCATTTTTAATTTTGTATTTAGTCAACCAGCTTTATTTAATTTTGAAATCTTCACATTGGTTTTATTTTTTCACCTTGAAGCAGTTTTTCCTGTGTCAGTGGATATATCAACAACCATTTCTGGTTTTTAGTTGTCCTTTAGGAGCTAGTTTTCACTTCTGGTTTAAGGACAGAAGAACCCTAACCAAAAAGTGTACATGAAATTAGACAATCAAACGTCCTGCCAAAAAAATTCAACATGGCCGATGATTAGCAAATAACAAATATAACTTTTTTATTAGCGTTTGACTGTTTTTATTGCAAATTTGTGAGTTTTATAACTGTTGATCGTTGGTTTAATGATTCTAAGGGATCCTACGTTAATTTATTAATTTGTAGAGTATTAATTTTAACACCGAATATAACTTTTAACACTCGAAAACAATAATGCACTCTACTGACTAATAACCGTTGTTGTCACAAAACACTAACTTTGTTTTTTTTTTTTGAAAGAGTAAAACCAAATTTGGTAGATTTTCACACTTTTATTTTAAAAATAAAAATTTTTAAACAAACACTAACATGACATATGTTTCGAAGTACAACTTCTTTTTCAAATGTGACTATTTACAATTCGGTATCCAATATATATACAAAATAATTTAACAAAACAAAGTACTTAAGAAAACATCAATAACATTACAAAATAAACTAACTATTTAAAGTAAATAAGGGTACTTAGGTAATTATAATATCCATCAAATAACAATAAGATAGCCCATTACCGGGATTATCTCACAGAAATGGGTTCCCCATAATTATTATGGGGAACCCATTATGCCCGTTGCTTGCAGAAATATTTATGGATAATATAGAAAATAAAATTCATAGCAATAATTTAAGTAAACATTGTCTGTATTGGCATAGATATGTTGATGATATATTGACTGCTTTTACTGGTACTAGTAGACAGTTAAATTCTTTATTAGTTTTTATCAATACTATACACCCTAATATTAAATTTACTATGGAAACAGAGAAGGATAATTCAATTAATTTTTTAGACTTAAATATTATTAAAAATAATAAAGGCCATAGTTTTGGGATATTTCATAAGCCATCACATACGGATATTACAATAAATAATAGTTCATCTCATCCATACAAACAAAAGCTGGCAGCATACAACAGTATGATCCATAGATTAGTTAATATTCCCCTTACCAAAGAGAACTTCACAAAAGAATTAAATATCATTAAACAAATCGCAGTAAATAATAATTTTAATTCAAAGTTAGTAGACAACATTTTAGAGAAAAAACTTTTTAAACAGGCTATTCAACAAGTTTATCCCATAATTAAAGATCCAAATTGCAGATATAAGAGTCTTACATATATAGGAGCTCCTAGTGAAAAGGTATCATCATATTTAAAAAACCAAAATATTAACGTAGCTTTTAAAACCAATAATACGCTTGGGAAGTATATTAAAAACAATAAGGGTAAAATTAATCCTAATAATAAATCGGGGGTATATAAATTAAATTGTGGTAGTTGTCCAAAATTGTATATTGGTCAAACAGGCCGTACTTTCAAAAAACGCTATTCCGAACATTATAATAGCTATACAAAAAACAAAAATAATTCTACTTACTCAAATCATATTTTAGCTGAAAATCATTCTTTTACAGACAACTTTGAAATTTTACATGTAGAAAATAAGAGCCTTAAATTAAACCATTTAGAAACACTTGAAATAAATAGATTTAAAAATTCAGATAACTTACTAAATGATCAATTAGATATTAATAATTCACCCCTATTAAACCTCTTTCCCAGTTTTCTGTGAGATAATCCCGGTAATGGGCTATCTTATTGTTATTTGATGGATATTATAATTACCTAAGTACCCTTATTTACTTTAAATAGTTAGTTTATTTTGTAATGTTATTGATGTTTTCTTAAGTACTTTGTTTTGTTAAATTATTTTGTATATATATTGGATACCGAATTGTAAATAGTCACATTTGAAAAAGAAGTTGTACTTCGAAACATATGTCATGTTAGTGTTTGTTTAAAAATTTTTATTTTTAAAATAAAAGTGTGAAAATCTACCAAATTTGGTTTTACTCTTTCAAAATTAAATGGATTTTCATCAAGTAAAGGCCGAAACAATAAATAAACTAACTTTGTTGTTTTTACCAATCGTCCACCATTTAAAATGACGTCATTTGAATTGCCTTAATTTGGCATTCCAACGAGCTGTCCAAATGACTGCCTGTTGGCATTGACAGGTACAATCATATATATATATATATATATATAGTTATATAGAGTGCTGAAAGCGGGCCCCATTCCGAGCGGCCATATTGCCTTGCAAGTACTCATTAATCAGAGTCGTTTAGTGAAAAATGACCTATATTTTTACTTCAAGGCAAGAGCTTATGTTTATTTTGAAAAACATGGATAATAAATGTATATATTATTGACCCTGTCAAATCCATCAGGCCCACAGGCAACCAGTTTGTTCGGAATGCCTAATTGTGTGTGTATTACAATGACGAAATACTACTAGACTAATCCATTCATTAATAATTAAGCCCTTGAATCACAACGGAAGGAAATTTCTGGTTTCTTTTCAATTGTGTAGTGCTAACTTGAATTTTAGTGAAACTTTTTTTGGGTTTCGATGTATCAACTTTATTTGTAAAAGGACAGTACAGTATGATACAGAATGTAATTTGTACCTATAATTCTTGAGTTTAGGGCAAATTTCGTTGGGATTTGAGAATGAGATTTTTTATCAATTGTCACCGCTGCCATAATTTCTCTTTCCCTCTTTATTATGACGGTTGCGACGCAACTCTTACTATACAGGTTGATTACTTTTTCTTGTTAAAAAAATGAATTTTTAACAGCCCTTATTTATTGCAATCAATCAAATTGTGTTTATTATTATGCAGACACAGTCCTCGTATCGGCTGCCGCATTAGAGAGAAGGAGACAACTGCTAATTTGAGTGGGGATGGTTTGCATGAGTATGTTTATCTGAGGAGCAAGCATGTATTTTATGAATGAATCAGTATTTACGTCTACTACGCTTGCTCTAAACTGCTGACACACTTTAAAATTAATTTCGTACTTTCCTGGTAAACACTATACAACTATAATAATTCCAACAAAAAAATACATTAAACTGATAATAACTGGCATCAAGAATGCAAATATACTTCCCTAATATAATTTTGGAAGCTTTTGTGCACTTATTTTTAAGTCAGTACCGAATTACAAACAATCAAAACTTGTAACAAGCATAATAATTTGACAAACTACGTAGATGACATCGAGAATGTTGTAAACAAAATTAGTCTAGTAGTTGTTCGTCGTTTGTGTATTATGTTATCCGATTCTTTTGTTTTCATGGATTGTTCCCATGCGTACTTGTGTTCAAAATTAGTTCAAATGAATCTTAAATGTGACATTGTCGAGTGCAGTGGTGCAGCCAGCCATTCATGGGAGAAAGTGAATAAAAACAAATAGTCAATAGCGATCAAGTGTTCCCCTGGCATTTTAAAGGATCCCGTTAAAAATAATAATGTTTAAATATATTCTTTTGTAGAAACAGAATACCGTTTTTAATTTAAAACATTAATGGTTTGTTGAGGTGACATTTTTATACGCTTTTTTACAGAATTGGCACCATAGAGAGACCTTCAGGCATTATCAACTACTTTAAAACGATAAATGATCATTTAATTTGTTATGCTTCAGAAACTATTATGAAGTCCAATCTTTATGTGAATTTAAAACTAATGGGGTGTTTTTTTAGCTGGAACAGGCACAAACCGGAGGTCATCCTGCATCAATTAATGCTTCTTTAAATAAAAATCAACCTATGAGTTTACTGGAAGTAAGTATAAATACTTTGCTTTTCTGCTGTTGAATTTTCCTTTAAAGTTAATCTGATTATTTGTTGCATGACGATTCTCAAAACCCGCATTATTCAACATTTTAACACAACAGATGTACACAGATATCATTTTTTTATTTTTGCAGATGCTAAACCATTCCCAACAACAAGACGAAGCTGCCAGGATGACGGGATCAAATCCCCACGTCCACCACCAGCAACACGCAACGAACGATCTCACCATGAAACTGCAACAAGCTCAGCTGCAGCAACAGCAAAAGCAGCAAATGGATATGCTCAACAAATTGATAAATGCTACGTCTTCTGTTCATACTCAACAGTTGAGAGCTTCTCCTCTGCACGATCTGGTCATGCAACAAAGCAGAGATTTACTGAACCGTCCCGAAGCCCAGGCCATTCTCCAAGGTAATTTTGCCATTTTTTAATATTGATCTAATTATGAAAGTGTTTGTGGTACTTATTGACATGTTTGGAGTATCAAGATGTTTAGGAGAGCTAACTATCATGAAATTATAGAATGTAAATACAGGGTGTTCAATTTATCTGGTCCTATTATTGAGACTCAAAATAATAAAATAAATCATTACTGGTATTTAAGAAATATAAAATGTAACATTGATCGAATGTGATTTATTTTTGTTGAGACTAACATAGATCGATCGAGGCGCGGTAAATCCGAGGTCAGAACCCAGGTGGAATGTAAATTTTAAAACGTGTTATAAATAACTTGATTACATAAACGTATAAAAATGAACAAAATACATTAAGGTGATTACAGCACCCCCTTATAATTTTCGGACAAGGACATCTCAAAAAGTGATTTTTAAAAAAAAAATTAATTTTGGCAAAATAAATTAGGCAATCTAGAATATGCATATGTTTTAAAATTTTAATTTCTTTCAGTTTTTGAGAAAAAAAAATCAAAGGGCTTTAAATTTTGAAATATCATGATGAAAATAAATGCATTCGTCAAAGCACTATTCTTAATATAATCCATAAATTTAAGCTCTTAATGTCTTGTTAATGATTTTTTAAAATTCGCCAAAATAAGTGGCCTAAATGCCTCGTTAAGTGCTATCTTCTGGTGTAAACTGGTGTAAATTATTTCAGGAAACGAATGATGACTGAGAGTGTACGATACGATAGTTAAAGTCACGTTACAACAGAAGGCAGCACTTAACGAGGCGTTTTAGCCACTAATTTTGGCGAATTTTAAAAAAATCATTAACAAGACATTAAGAGCTCAAATTTGGGAATTATATTAAGAATAGTGCTGTTGAGAAATGTATTTATTTTCATTATATTTTAAAATTTAAAGCCCTTTAATTTTTTTTCTTGGAAATTGAAAGGAATAAAAACTTTAAAATACATGCATATTCTAGATATTTTGCCTAATATATTTTGCCAAAATTTAAATTAAAAAAAAAAAAATTACGTTTTGAGATATGTCCAAAAATTATAAGGGGGTGATGTATATGTATTATTTATTATTTTTGAATAATCTTAAGTATGTTCATTTTGATGAAGCCTAAATTTGTTCTATACTTAGTTTGTACAACAAAAAAGAGTAAGTTCTCAATAATTAATAAAAGTATGACCCTCGAAACATTGTTTTTTTTTCAATTGGTTCATCTGTTTTAATTAGAAACAAATGCAAAACTCAAAGTATTTTTTTAAGTTACAATAATAAAAAAATTATAAATGTGTTAGAATTTTTACAATAATTTCAAAAATATTTTTTTTAATTTGTTAAAAATTAAAAATCCCACTTACTAAGGAATCGTCATCCGATTCTAGAGAAATTATGATAGGATCAATGGAATATTATCAGTTATGTTATCAAGCTCCTACATTTTTTCCTTATTCCATTCAAATAAAAGTAGAAACCTTTACCTGTAGTTTCCTTAATAACAGTAGTGCATCCTTGCAGAAACGCGTACTGAGATGTTTTTATATTGCTGTCTTTCCAAACTCTTCCTACACTTTGTCTTGCATTCACCCAACATTTCGTGTAAATATTAAATGATTCTTATTTTCTATCCCAAAGTAAATCAGCATAATCGCTAAAGGCTTGTAAAACTATATCTAAAGTTGGCAATTACTTGTTAATCCCGCTTTTACCCATTATAATAGTAGAAGATACAAAAATAATGCACTAGTCCGGGAAATGCAGTTTTATCTTGAACTATAGGTATGATCACAATGTACTATGAGTTGCTTATATAATTTTATTACATTTCTGAGAACACACTCCTTTTTCTTCAAATAAATTATAGTTAAGACAAAAGCTAAAAATAGTAGGTAAAGAAAGGCTAGATTCAATTGATATTCAATAAAAATCATTCACCAGCATTTGTACCCTTGGAATTCCATTGGTATAAATTGAATTAATATTTATTGACGCATGAAGGTTTGAAACGGGGTGAAATCACTACCCAACACCTCTATCAGCAATTGGCCAATCCGGCCTTACAACCGCGACACAGGGAAATGTTGATGACCATCTTGAAAGTTAACGGAGGCGGCAGTTTTGGTCCGAGCCCGCGGGTGCTTAGCCCAGTGCCCCCGCACCACATGTTTCAACAACAACAGCAGCAGCAACAACAACAACAACAATTACGGGTGTCACCTCTACCGCCGAACGGTGAGTTCAAGGAACATTGTGCTGGCCCTGCAAGCGTTGTACATAGCTACACCCACCACAGTTACCGAATTGTAAAATTAGTTTAAAATGGACGATTTTTGGGCAATAGTAAAATCTGAATTAACGTTCTATTGCTACTATCGTTGCTAAAACTAAAAATTTGAATTTCAAATACAAAATTCTTAGTAAATGTCTCTGATGGACTGATAGAATAAATTTTAAATGAGGGCAAGGTGGAAAGTTCTTAGCATAATAGTTGTAGGTAGTTGTTAAAAAATTAATTTATTTTTTTATGTAGTTTCCCTTTAGTTCAATGCACTTTGTCCTCTTCGTTTAATCAAAAACGTTTTCCATTGACAAATGTTTTTTCTCTTTTTCAATGCAGGAATTGTTTCATCTAGCTCGTCAAGAAAATCTGCGTAGTATTCGTTGGTTATCGTTTTGTCTTTTCAAGGTTATCAATTTAAAAAAATGCCTTTTGCATCCCAATAAATACCTGCTTTGACTTCGCGTTTTTGGTGCAGAGCCACTGGCCTCCACCCACTGCTTTGACTGCTGTACCCATATTTCGTCTATAGTAACAAACTGTGCCTAAAATCGATTGGATTCATTTCAAAATGGTCCATACATTATTGAGAAATTTATTGTCTTGCTTGTTTTTGGTCAGCAAATTACCATATGCGGCATCTACCTTGTATAAAGCTTTTTTATCATACCCTTTGTGCTTACAGCCTTAGATATTTCATATACTTTTAAAGTCGATCCTTTAGAACCATATTGTGTACCTTTTTGGCCGTCGTCCACGTCAATCGCCTTCAAGAAATGTACGACCACCTTTAAACTCTTTAAACCATTTACCAACTTTGGATGAATTTCTGTCGACAATAGACCGTCCAAAACAAATAATGTTGTGACAGAGAAAGACAAACAAAACATCCATAACAGCCATATAAATAAAACTATTTATCCGATCAAGGGGAAACTTGATATTAGTTTTTGTGACATAAGTGCCAAGTGTGCTAACATCACAGAACATAAATGATAATACCGCCATTTCTGTGTTATGCCGATAACTTTTGACCTTGCCTTCCTAGAATTTTTGGAGCTCCAAATATTTTTGACATATATGATTTGTTTATCCTTGATAAAAATAAGTTTATATAATCAAAAATTCATTGAGAAAGTTCGCTTTTGTGGCATATTCAAATGATAGTGCTTCATACTTATGAATTAATATGTAATTATTGTTCTTTATAACATTATAACGTTATTATTTAAGTACGTGTAATACACAGTTGTTGAAAAAGCAAGATTATCTTATCCCTAATAGTCCTTTAAAGAATTTAAAAAATATATTATTCAGAGCTCTAACGATTTTTATATTCATCAGTTGGTTTTTTTTTTCAGAAATTTAAACACAAAAATCTTCCAATTTTTTTCTAACATGTTCCCGCAGTGTTTTATGAACGTAATATCCACCTTAGTGAGCTTTTTATGTTCTTCGTAATGGCTTTTTATTTTGATATGCAATCGCTTCACAACATTCACATTTTTATATTTGTTAGATGTTTGTTTCATGCATGTATGACACAGTTTTTCTGCTGAAAATAATATACCATTGTTTCATGCAGCGTATTGTGTGTCTCCAATATTGGCAACTAGTCCAAATACACTGACAGTACCTGGTGAGTGGCCATTTATTGTCTCCACTTCACTATTATCTTACGATTTTAAAAAGCAATTATGATATAGACATTTTTTATTTAGCCATGCACCAGAGAATTCCTTCGCCTAGAGAACTTCAAGTCCACACTCAGGGAATTTTGCAGAGGGCTTTGATAAAGAAGAAGCTTGAAGAACAGCAAGAAAACTACCGTAAAAAGCAAGAGATGCAGCGAGGTCAAAGTCCAAATAACGGCGGTAATCAAGGCCTAACGAAGAACTTAACTTCACCCACTCCTTTGACGTTTACTCCGACTTCAGTATTGAGAAAAATGACTGCAGATAAAGATGAAGGTAAAATATACAACTTATATCTGAGACACATTTTTGTAAAACTTGACGACACTGAAATTGTGTTTAAACCCTGTTATAAATATCTTTAGGTAAAGAAAATAAGGGACTTGATGGTAAAGTTCCACCAGGCAGACCTTTGACTGGAATGAGAGCTCAGCATCCCCCACCTCAAGTTCAACAATGGAATCCCAGCGGACAATATAATATATCCAACAAGCATCCAGGTATGAGTAAGTTGACTTTGTAATCATTCATTTTACATTTTAATTTTAGCTACAACTACTAAATACATAATAGGTATATTGTGTTACTTGACATAAATAACTGAAAAATTATACTGTTGGGGCCCTCACTAGACATATTTTATATCATTTTACCTAATCTGCATATTCAACCGTTCACGAGAGCACCGTTTTATGAATTTTAGGTCGTCCTATTGTCAAGGCGAATAACAATTTCCCAGTCCAAGAGCAATTCTTTGGACAGCAGCCATCACAACAGCAGCAACCTCAACAACATTCTTCACAACAACAGAGAGCGCAGCAACAACAGTTAGCATTCCAGCAACAGCAGCAACGTAAGCCTATGAGCCAGCAAGTAATGGGTTCTCAATTCACTTCCGGCCAAGGTGTTCCTCAATCTCAGTACAATCCTCAACAATACTCGACTAATCAACAGTTTACCCAACAGCAATTGAGAGCGCAGCATCAGCACAGGCCGGCCAACCAACAGCCAAGCGTTCAGCAGCCGCAACAGCAACCGCAGCCAATTTCCTTCCAGCAACCACAGAACAGTCAGCAACAGCACTTGGGGGGAGGAGGGACTTGGCAACAGTTCTTCAGTAACGCACAACAAGGTAAATAATATACAGAGTAACAATAATTTAAATACTTACAATGGCTATATCTCATGAACTAAAGAAGATATTAGAACGCTTAAAACTGTTACAGGGTGGTTCATTTAAAAATATCACATATTTATTTTGAATTAATTTAATAAGTATTTAATTAATTTAGTAAATGTTTAAAATTATTTCCATTAGCTAGACAAAAGTAAAGTCTATTTTCAAATTCACGGCGAAAGTTGGCAAATGTTTCGGCATGTCTGCACAATTTTTTGAGTACATAATAGTTTCGCAGTAAGTGAAATGAGGTAAAATCAAGCTGAAGTAATAATGACCACTGATTTAGATACTTGGATTGTCTATTTAGATAATTTTGACATCTATCGTTTTTATTATTAATTTAGCATGTTCTTTAAAAAAATAAATACGTTTATTTATTATATAGTCATTGTAAGTTTTTAAATTTCACCATTTTACTAAAAAAGGAGGTAAATAGGTGACATTAGATATATTTAAAATCTTATGAGATTCAACTCCTCAAATGTGGGCATCTTCATAAACGAAAATAAAGACTCAAAATCTGTATCATATATAGTTACTATATGTTTTACTGATAAGTTACTATATGTGGTACTGATTTTGAGCATTTATTTTCGTTTATATTCTATTTGTTTTTTTTTCTAATTCAGCAGGTAGCAGAAATTCCAAGGCAAGCCTGGATGTCGATGGGGGTCGCCTAACAACAAACGCGCCCACTTCCGCCGCCGCAACCGTCAATCAGTTGGCCCGTTGGTTCTCCCCCGACTTACTGGAACGCGCCAGAGGTGGCGAACTGCCAAGCACTGCCGGTCTCTCGCAGCACGTTCTCAGCCTTGAGGAGATCGAACGGCAAACGGCGCCCCCCGTCCACAACTAAGTACTTTTTTTGCAATTCTTTCGCTCGTATTTGAAAGATGTTGAAGAGGGGCGTCGGGATGGGGAACGGAACGGTAAGTTTTTGGGGATGTTGATGTTGTTTTTTTTATACATGTGATGTAATTTTAAGAACAAAAATATTAAAAAAAAAAATAAAAAAGTATTATTTAATAAAGTTTGTTTATGAGTTTGTCGCAATTTTATTTAATGAATTTTGTAAAGTGAATGCCGTTAGAGAACGGTACACCTACGTCAGTTTTGTGCGAACTAAACTCTTTATTGACAAGACGATCCAGTGCCGTGCAATGAAATTCCGTACTTGGTGATTATTTTTGAAAGGAAGAGTGTTTGCAACGATTATCAAGTAAATTTAATATATTTTTTTAATTTGTGATTGTTTTTGCAATAAAACGCTTTCTATAAAAACAACGATAGCAAGTATTAAATAAAAAATCTGATGTGTCCAACACATGACTTTCCTATCTAGTTATTATAGGCTTTTTCTGGTTATTTTGTACAACCTATTGCAGCACCGCTATAAATGTTTAGAGGATAAACTAAATATATACATCTACCGCGAAACATTTTTCTATAGATATTCATTGAAAACGAAAATACTGAAAAATTTAAATTTAGCACTTTTCCTACAATTTTTTCATTACGGTCCATTTTAGAAAAATCATGTATAAACAATAATTATAGAGATCGATATCACAAACAACTTTTAGTTCAACAATTTTAATAAAAATCAGAATTTTGTCAAATTTCTCGAATACGGACCATTTCAGGAAATTTTGACATAAAGCAAAAAATATAGATAATAATATTAGAAGTAACTTTTATTTGAACAATTTTCTTCTCCAAACATAAATAACATATATTCCATAAAATATAAAAACGGCCTCCCATAAAGTACCCCCCAGATGTTTCGACTTTGTCCAAAATCTAATCATTTCACGTCAGGCCGAAATGTTTTTTCTTTATCCGTTTTTGAGTTTTCTTCAAAATTCGAAATTTACACATTTTCTCAAATATCTCATATACGGTCCATTTTAGAGAAACTATGTATAGAATAAAAATTATAGAGAATTATATTACAAACAACTTTTATTTGAACAATTTTTATAATTTTTTTTTTTACATTTTGTCATATTTCTCGAATACGGACCATTTTAGGAAAATTTTGTATAGAACAAAAATTATAGATAATATTAGAAGTAACTTTTACTTAAAAAATGTTCTTCTCCAAACGTAAATAACAGATATATTCCATAACATATAAAAATGACCACCTATAAAGTACCCCCCAGATGTTCCGACTCTGCCCAAAATCAGTTCATTAGACGCTGGAATAGAGCTTAAGTTTAAAATTTGGTGTTTTTCTGTGTATCGGTTCGTGAGTTATGCGACACACACACATACAGACATACACACACACAGACATCATCGCGAAAATAGTCAAAACGGATTCAGGGGACCTCAAAACGTAAAAATCCGTCGAAAACTCGAGGTCGAAAAAAAATCATGATTCCTATACTTTCCTTATATCTGTATACAGATAGGAAAGTAAAACTAGTTAGACACAATCACTTATTTGTCAAGTAAATAAAGTTTATTGACTGACCAACATACATACAATGTAAATAGTGGAGGGTATTTAACTGCTCAAATGTGATCATCTTCACAAAAGAAAATAATATTCAAAATATGTAGGTACCACATAAATTTATATACTAAAAATTATAAATCTGCAACCGATTTTGACCTAAGGAAAGAATAACGATCACAATAAAATCTACAATTTTAAAAATGATTTTAGGTTATTAAGACAAAATAACTAATTTTAAAATAATTTATGACTTTTACTAATTTATAAAATAAACATGAAAAAAAAAAAGATTTAATTTGTTCCCAGCCCAGATTCGAACCTGAGCTTCTCGCATGGACCCCAAACGCGCTGTTCTCACCTCTATCGACACACCATCTTGGTTTTAATTTTTAATACTTGTAATTAAATAAGTTACATATTATTAGAAATGTGCATGTAAAAAATGGAATAATCGTGAATACTTTTCTCTTTGACAAATATATTTTTATTAATGACAAAATTACTGACAATTCTCAAACTAAGTTTAACATTAAGTATATGGGTAAGTATAATATATCAACTCTAACAATCCTCCCCCCTGAGCTTAAACCCAAATATTTTTACAGGTTTGACAAGACGTCCACTTCTTGTCTTCAAACCTTCTTCTTGTGTTTCTTCTAGACGTGCCTGTCCATTCACTTCGTCTTTATCATTCTTTTCTTTCCCAACTAGCTTCTGTTTCTGCTCTGAATATTGCTTAACCGCCTTCTTTTCTTTCCCAACTAGCTTCTGTTTCTGCTCTGAATATTGCTTAACCGCCTTCTTTTCTAAACGTTCTTTCCTTTCCTTCATAATATGAACCTTACTTTCGCAATCTGAGTCTACTTCCAATGGGTACAATTTTTGAAAAGGCCTTAATATTTCTCCATATTGTAATTTTACCTTTGCTGCTCTGCAATTCCCATCTTTTCCTTCTATTAATTCTATAATCCTACCCAATGGCCAATTTATTCTTTTTATATTTTCTTGTTCCACATAAACTACATCTCCAATTTTTAGTGGTCTAGATAGTTTTCTCTGTTGGTGATGATGAATGAGTTGCGCTAGGTATTCATTCCTGAATCGAGATCTAATGTCTCTTAATTTTTGCAAATATCGGTATCGTCTGATTATATGATTTCTGTCGATGTTGTCCAAGTCTGGTATTTCACAGGTTGTCAGGTCATAAAGAAACATTGAAGGTGTCAATTGAATTAAATCTTGATCATTTTCGGAAACATACGTCAGCGGCGGAGTATTATCGCTTCGCAATCGCAAAGAACAGTTAACAGTTCTTCATAATTAACGCATGCTTTTCCCAAATTTCGCCGGAGTAATTCTTACAATACGTTCCCAGAATCCTTCCCACCACGCAGCTGGTGGGATATTAAAAATCCATTTAATTTTTCTAATCGACGAATAATCTAAAATCTTAGTCCAGTCCATTTTCTTTAGGCAATTATTAGCACCAGTAAAATTCGTTCCATTATCTGAGTACAAAACCGAAATTCGTCCCCTTCTGGCAATGAATCTTCTTAGTGACAATAGAAAATTACGAACTCCAAGTGAATTGCTCTAAATACTGCGCATGTAAATAAAACCACCCATACTTTTGAACCATCTTTTAAATATAATGGGCCAGCTAAATCCACTCCTGATATCTCGAAAACAGTTGCATTATTTATCCTATCTTTTGGCAAAGGTGCTAAAGGAGTTGATATGGATTTGCTATTAAAGCGTTTACACGTTATGCATTTTGAGGTAACTTCTTTTATGGTTCGTCTTCCTCTTAAAATCCAATAATTTTCTCTAATAATACATAATAATGTCTGGACGCCAGCGTGATTGTGGATTTTATGCTGTTCTAATATAAATTTTCTCACAATTTCATGTTTAGATGGTAACAATATAGGAAATTTAAAATTGTATGGCTCATTGCAATATATGTTAGTCTCGTTTTTAATCTCAAAATATTATTTTCATCTGTTAAAAACTCTAAATGATGTATTTTTCTATTTTCGACCAATCCTTCCTTTTGAATTACTTTAATTAGTCTTAATTCTGCTTTTAATATTTCTTTATAAGTTAATTCAATTTCTTTAAAATCAGTACATACACATTTTGTCTGTTTTAGAATTTTTCCCGAAGAATGAATATAAAATCTCATTATCCATGCTATAATTCTTACTATCCGAGAAAAATAATGAAAATGCTTAGTAAATAAATTTGGTCATGAACAATATTGCACACGATCTCGTTTTTCCTCTCAGAATCAGCATCTACAGACAAAGTAATTTCCCAGTGAGGCCATGTTTCCGAATCCTGTTTTAGCCAATTTGGACCTTCCCACCATCTATTTTCCAGTAACATTTCACTAGAACAGCCGCTAGAAGTGACATCTGCTATATTTAGCTCTCCTGGAATAAAATTCCACTGACCAACCGCTGTATATTTATTTATTTCGTTTACTCTATTTTGGACAAATGCTTTCCAAGGACCTTTACTTTTGATCCATGTTAAAGCTACTGTGGAATCTGTCCAATAAAAGGTTTTTAAGCCACTTAGTTCTTTAACCGCTTGTACATGTTGGCTAAACCTAACTCCTATTAAATTCGCTATCAGTTCTAATTTTGGTATTGTTACATTTTTTGGTGCAGTTCTTGATTTAGCCTGAATAAGTTGTACTAAAACATTATTATTGATTTTCATAAAAATATGCAAGTTCCATAAGCTAATTTACTGCTGTCAGAAAAAAACGTGAATTGATGATTCTTTTATGTCAAAAGCTTGCTTCTTGCTAATTGATCTTGGAATTTTACAAAAACTTAGCAAATTAATTTCTTTTAGCCATTTTTCAAATCTTTTAGCAATATTTTCTGGCAATTCTTTATCCCACCCAACTTTTAATTCCCAAGTTTCCTGTAATAACATTTTTGGTATAAGAGTTACTGGGCAGGTATATCCGATAGGATCAAATACTCTATGGGCTACAGATAAAAGACCGCGTTTAGTTTTTGGAGTATCTTTTAATTCAATAAGGGTTTTTAAATCACAAAATAGTAAATCATTTGGAATATCCCATAACATCCCTAAAACGCTGCTAAATTCCACAGAAGAAACAACATTATCTGTTGTATAAAACCATACCCTAAGATTAAACTGAGCTAATGTCAGTAGCTCTTTAGATTCTTTAATTATTTTTTCTAATTCTATATTGTTTACACTAGTAATAAGATTATCAACATAAAAGGAATTAGCTAATTTTTCTGCTGTATCCTTCAAATGTAGAGGAGAATGTGATACATGATAGTTTATGGTAGCTGCTAATAAAAATGGACTACATTTAATTCCGAAAACTACTCTACAGTGCCTAAAAATTTTCTTTATCTTTTCCACCAATAAAATCTTAAAAAAAGTCTGTCTTTAGGAGAAATACTTATCTGTAAA